TAATAAAATAATAAAAAATTAACATAATAAAATAATATAATAATATAATATAAAATAAAATAATAGAAAATAATATTTTATTATGTTTTATTATATTATTTTATTATTTCCCTTCTACGTGACTTTACCGAAATAACCAAGAAGGTGAATCCCTGCAGTCACGAAAGCTTTAAATCGAAAAATTAAGAAGAATCATTCAACAACAAACCAAAAAAAACACACGTGCAAAAAATCCAACCCCCCCTACTCCGCTGTATCAGTTGCGCGGTCTTATTATTCTTATTATTATTATTTTCTGCGGCTTAATATCCGGCAGATTAAAGAGGCCAACTTTAAATTTGCAAGTCCATTCAATTGACTGTTCGGAGGCGGCGTGGATCTTCGTCCAATTCATCCTTTAAAGGAATGGAGAGAGAACGCAGGGGGGCAGGGATGTTAACGACCTCGCCTGGTATGCAGGAGGTCGTGGAGTTCGAAACCGACCCTGACGCCTGCTGCTGCTGTAAATTTGGAGCTTGCGTGTCTGTCTCCCCGTGGTCGCGTGGAATTTTCTCCCAGTCCTCCGGTTTCCACCCCCCCCCCCCCCCCCCCACATATTTTTAAAGATGCGAGGACTCGATTTAAAGCTTTCGTGACTGCAGGGATTCATCTTCTTGGTTCTTTCGGTAAAGTCACGTAGAAGGGAAATAATAAAATAATAAAAATAAAGCATAATAAAATACAATTCTCACGACGTTTCGGCCACAACGCAAGCAGCCGTCCTCAGGTGAAGAACAGGTCTGTCGGAAAGACAGCGATTTCGATTTGAAGCTTTCGTGACTGCAGGGATTCATCTTCTTGGTTCTTTCGGTAGTCACGTAGAAGGGAAATAATAAAATAATAAAAATAAAACATAATTAAATAATTCTCATGACGTTTCGGCCACAACGCAAGCAGCCGTCCTCAGGTGGTGAAGAACAGGTCTGTCGGAAAGACAGCAGTCTGAATGAACGCTGTCTCTCCGAGAAGATGCGAGTACTTAGCTGCTATAAACGCCCACAAGTTAAGCCGCCACGCCGTTGATTGAGCTATCATTTGTGGTGGCCAGGTGGCTTCTGAAAAACTAGCTACACGGCTCGGAGGGCCCACACCTGGCCAATCAATTTGATACAACATCGTTGTTTGTTTTGTGGACAACGTGGTCGACGGTTTTTTTTTTGGGATTCATGGCCGCACTCGTGGTGGTGGTGGTGGACCAGAGGTAGACGCGATGTCACCCGAGGCTTTCGCGCAAAAGCAAAACATTTTATCTTTAAAAAAAAAAACGCCGTCCTCCTGTGTAACTGCACGCGACTAGGCGCCGTTCCTCTTGCGAGGCACCGCGATGCAATGGCTCAGCAACGCCGGGGCAAGTCACGAGTGGCGGTTAGAGTCCCGTTTGCGAGAGGGACGAGGCGCTGGTCGCTCGTTCGATCTCCCAGCGCGGCAATTAAACCACGGTGGTGCAAGGTTCTAAAATCCCGTGACCCCCACCCCTCTGGACAACAGGGAAAAGTAGGCCAAATACCCTCCCATGGGGCGCTCTCCAGAGCTCTCTCAAGTGGTAGGCCCTTCCGCAAGCAGTGGCGTGAGTAGAGACATTGCAGAGATGCGCCTTTACCTGATGGGTGCACGCAAGTTCTGCGGTTCGTGTAGTCGAGCGCTTTCTGGGAGGGGGGGGTAGGTGGATCACGCAGAGATCGGACAGCTGCTACGAGACTCCCGGCGCCGCTGTAGGCCCCGCGGTGCCCGGCAGGCGGCAGTGCAGCAAGCAGGATCGTGCACGCTATGTGCGGCTTCCTGAGCGCTCGTTCTTGTACGCGTGCCGTGGATGTCCTCGGGGTTCCACGAGCGCCAACGCTGCTCACGAGCAAGCTGAGAAAGCCAGCGTCTCGCATGGGAGCCCGGGGCCCTGTCACCAGCCTTGCGGTTGCGGTGGTGAGTTTGTGGCACTATTGGCGTTGGTGAGCTGTGGTGAGCTGTGGTGAGCTGATTATTTTGCTCTACGTGTAACGAACACCGCGGCAGCCCAGAGAGAAAACCCCCCACGACGCGGGCGAAAGCACCACGCTCCCCCAATCCCCTCGCTTAGACGGGCGAGGGAACCTACTTGCTCTCTTGCCACATACAGGCACCAGCGCGTGCAGGGGGGCGAGGGTCTTTGCGGGATGTGGCTGTGAACTCGACGCGAGGCTGCAACCCCAGGAGAGGGCATCGTGGGGAGGCTGCGAGATTGGGATGAGAGAAGGGGGGGGGTGTTCAGGGGGGAGGGGAGGGGGGAATTGACTCTGTCACTTTCCCAGGCACCCAGTGTCACAATAGGTGCCCCCCCCCCCCACCCCCCACTAATTCGGGCTCACAGCTGAAGTCCCTCGCTCTGAGACTCGAGGCGACGCTTCCTTAGATGGGTACGCGACGCGTCGCGCCAGAAACCCGACTCGAGCCCCCCCTCACCCCCCCATCGACTTACCCCCCCCCCCCAACTCTCCTCTACACGCACACCGGTCACTCCGTGGGAGAAAGTTTCCAAGGATAACGCACGAGACACCATTTGACAGACGTCGCAGTCACCCGATTCTGTAGACCGGCCCGTCTCTGCGCAGAGCCCACGCTGGCACGACACGCCATGAAAACGAGACTGTGTTCGAACTCGTCGTTCGATCCTCGCAACGATGCTTTGTCAATTCTAGATTTGAACCTTTCGTGACTGCAATGATTCATATTCTTAGGTTTTTTCGGTAAAGTCACGTAGGTAAAAACATTAAAAAGTAAAATAAAATAAAAATAAAAATCAGCTGTCGTGGCAGTGACGGTTCCACCTGAAGACGGAAGCTTGTGTTGCCTCCGAAACGTCGTGATTTTTATTCTTTTTTTATTTTATTTTTCAATGTTTTTACCTACGTGACTTTACCGAAAAAACCTAAGATGCTTCGTCAACCCGCCCCGACCGGCGCGGTGAAGTATGGTCAAACAATCGCCCTTCACCTACACCGCGTGGAGGCAGTCGTCCACAACGGACTGACGAATAACGGAGCGCAATGCTCATGGAGCGCACGCCATGTCACGTGGCTTTCCTGTGGTCCATGCAACACTGAAATGACAGCACAGATAATGCATTTGAGCTACAGCGAGTCTCAAGACTCTTTTGCAGGAGGGTCCTGCTACATTGGGATATTTGACCAATGTCCTCGTTGCTGTAATGCGGATACGCGGATTGCAACGCACACACGAGGCTTGCAGCTGCCTGGATAGGTCAGGAGCCACCTGTTCCGATAACGCGGACACAGCTTCCCGGACACAGCGTGTGAGCCTCGTGGTGTGAGACTCCACGTGCGAGACTTGTGGTGTAAGTCTCCACGTGTGAGTCTCGACGTGTGAGACTCGTGGTGTAAGTCTCCACGTGTAAGTCTCCACGTGTGAGACTCGTGGTGTAAGTCTCCACGTGTGAGTCTCCACGTGTGAGACTCGTGGTGTAAGTCTCCACGTGTGAGTCTCCGCGTGCGAGGCACCGCGTGCGAGCCTCATGGTGTGAGACTCCAAGTCGTGGGTCTGCGCCGCCGCCTCTGGCGTGGCCGTTACTTTGAACTTTGCAGCTCGCGTCGCCGCGCTCAGTTCACGGCCGAAGGGCTCCTGAACGCCACGGCCCTGGGGGGAGGGGGTGGCCGTCTCCTCATTATTGACACCAAGGCAATCATCGCCCAGACGCGATCATCGTGAGCGTCGCTCGCCACCGCTGCGCGCCCGAAGTGGAGCGGACCCAACGCAATGAACCAGCACCATTTGCGGAGTTGTTCTGCGGGTGATAACCATGCTCTGCCATGAGCACGTGGAATTTCCACCGTTGGCTCGAGGCAGCGCCGCGTTTGGAGATGCACCCCGTTCCCGTGGCCCTCTGCCCTCAAGCGCCTTATCCGATTCTGCTGACCCTCGGGGGACTAAAAATGTCCCGCGCGGACGCAGAGGCCCAAGTAAAGCCTCAAGGGATCAAGTTTCTTCCGCGGAGATGCCACCCTCCTCCTCCACCGCCCTCCCCACCTCTCTCGGCTTCCTCGCACGCCCCCCCACCACCACCGCCCGTGGGCGCAGTAGAAGGGGGAGGGTCCCTTGCGCCCCCCCCTCGTCTCCGCCTCTCACCCGAGGGCCCCCACCTGTTCCCCGAAGCCCCCCCGCGTCGCCCCTTTAAGAGGCGGGCGCGTCGCGCTGGTGGCAGCAGTCGACCGTGGCACTCTGAGCAGGAGAGAGGGATCAGATCGGAGCCGAGACCCAGGGGCAATCAAGAAGAACCGAGACCATGGTGGGTGCCTGCGCCACCGCAGCGGACACTTTTCATCTCGATTTGTTTTCGTCGGGGAGTGATTTTATCCCCCACTTTTTTGTTTTTTCACAATTTGAATTTCTTTGCGTTATTTTTTTAGAATTTTTTTTTACTTTGAAACTTTCTATATTAAAAAAAAAATCGATTTCAGCGGCTTTGGCTCCTCGTGAGCGCCGCTCAGGAACGATGCGTTGACAGTAACGGTGGCGATGTGTCTGTGCGGCTCTGTCTGTGCTCTCTGTACCACTTCTCCGCTCGCTCCCACAGTCGTTCACCGCGGACCAGCTTGAGGGTGAGTGGCGAACTTCCCCCCTCCCCCTCTCCCCCCCCCCTGCCCCGTCCCTCGTCGTGTCGTGTTCCCCGTGGCCTCCGCCTGCCTCTCGCCAAGCCCTGGGGTCCCCCCCCCCCCATCCCTGGGAGTGGGGGGGGGGGCAGGGGGGCGGGGTATTGGGAGAAACCAATTACAATTCCAAACCGAATTTCAATGGGCCCGAGTCCCTGAGATATAGGCGGAAATTCCACATTGCTACGACGGGACCCAGCGGCTCCCCCCCCCAATTTCATCTGGCCCCCCACTTGGTCGGCGAGAGGCACGCGGCGGGGGGGGGGCTAAGTAGCCCACTCCGGCGCGCGTTCATCCATCCCTGTGCACCATGGTCTCTTGCAGATCGAGTTCTCCAAAGATCAATTGGAAGGTAAGTGGGTCCGGCCCCCACTCCCTACTACCCCCCCTACTACCCCCTCCCCTACCCCCCCCCCCACTATCCCCCCCACTCGCCCCCACCTCCCCCCCGACCCCAAACCCCCCTCTGGGCATGAGCGGTTCACTCCGCGGAATCAGAAGCCTTCGTGAGACACGAGGTCCCCCCTTGCACGGGGCATAGAGCCGGGAGGTCAGAGCGAGTCGCTAGCAACATCGAGTCGACAGAGAGACAGAGAGAGAGAGCGAAGTTGCTTGGACGTCGTCACGCCTCTGCTTGGAGGCTTAGGAGAACGAACGGAGGGGTGCGGCTGGGCGAGATTCAGGAGGTAGCGACAGCCAAGGTTGTGATCGCGTCCCAGGAGGTTGTCTGGGGCGGGGGGGGGCATTGCGACGATTGCGAGAGGCCTCCATCCAGCAGTGGAATTAGATCGTGGCCGGTGATCTCAAGTTTGCGCTGCGCGTCTGTGAGCGCTCTGCAATCCGGACCCAGCCACCAGAGTTCCCGTCTCGCTCGCGGCCGACATCAGTGGCGCACATGCGACTCGGACTTTAGTGAGCAGCCGGTGCCGCGTGTGAACCCATCAGCGGCCCCATGGGTCTCGCGAACAGCACTTCACTTGAACTGCCCGCGTGGGCTACGCGGTAGGATATCTTTGCGTTCTAGATTTGAAGCTTTCGTGACTGCAAGGATTCATACTCTTAGTTCTTTCGGTAAAGTCGCGTAGGTAAAAAATGAAATTAAAATTAATACAAATAAAATAATAATATTATTTTATTTTTGTTCATTTTAAAAAATGAAATAAAAATTAATACAAATAAAATAATAATAATATTTTCTTTTTATTCATTTTAATTTCATTTTTTACCTACGTGACTTTACCGAAAGAACTAGGAGTATGATATCTTCGCGATTGTTAGGGGCTGCGTTAGGGGCAGTTGTTAGTGTTGGCTATCGACTAGGCTGGGCGATCTTTCCCTTTTCGTATTCGCGTCTTGAGTTCCTCTCTCTCTCCCCGCTGGCTTTGTCTACACCGCGACTATGGCACCTCGGTTGCGTTTCTCACTTCTGCCTATCCACCCCAACTCCGTTGCCGCTCTCCCCTCCATCGCTCCATCACCCCCCCCCCCACCGTCCTTGACTCCCTCCACATCTCCACACTCTCCCCCATCTCTCACCGTGTCTCTCCTCTCTCCCACATCTCCCACTTGGACTCCTCTGCCCTCTCTCCCCCATTCCGTCTCTCTCTCTCTTCGTGTCTCTCTCTCCCCCGTCTCGTCCGTCACATTTCACTCCCTCCCCTCCCTCCTTCGCTCCATCTCCTCTCCATCCTCCATCTCCTATCCCCTCCCTCGCTCCCGTCTCTCTTTTTTTTTACGATCAGTGGAAACAAGAAGATGCTCGGTGTATTCGGCACTTTGCTTCGTTCATCATTTCGTAATTTTTTTTTACTTAGCTTTATATAAACTCCCACCTCTCGCTCACTCTCTCGGTCACTCTCTCGCTCACTCTCTCGGTCACTCTCTCGGTCACTCCCTCGGTCACTCCCTCGGTGACTCTTTCGCTCACTCTCTCGGTCACTCCCTCGGTCACTCTCTCGCTCACTCTCTCGGTCACCCTCTCGGTCACTCTCTCGCTCACTCTCTCGCTCACTCTCTCGGTCACTCTCTCGCTCCCCCATCTCCTCCCCATCCTCCATCTCCCCTCTTCTCACGATGTCTCCCCCTCCCCCTTCACCCACACCCCCCCCCCCCCCCGCGTGTAGAGTACAAGGAGGCGTGGACCCTCTTCGACAGGCGTGGAGACAACAAGATCACGCTGAGCCAGGCCGGTGACGTGATGCGCGCCCTGGGCCAGAACCCCACCAACGCCGAGGTCGCCAAACTCCTCGGGAACCCCAAGCCTGATGGTACGGGGCGTACCCCCTACACCTACCCACGCCTACCTCCTACCTCCTACACCTACCATAACCCACACCTACCTCCTACACCTACCCACACCTACCCCCCCCCCACACCTACCCCAACCCACACCTACCCCCCTACCCCAACCCACACCTACCCCCCTACCCCAACCCACACCTACCCCTTACACCTACCCACACCTACCCCCCCCTACACCTACCCCAACCCACACCTACCTCCTACCCCCTACCCCAACCCACACCTACCTCCTACACCTACCCCCCCTACCCCAACCCACACCTACCCCCCTACCCCAACCCACACCTACCCCCCTACCCCAACCCACACCTACCCCTACACCTACCACACCTACCCCTACACCTACCACACCTACCCCCCCTACCCCAACCCACACCTACCCCCCCTACCCCAACCCACACCTACCCCCTACACCTACCCACACCTACCCCCCCCCCCTTACACCTACCCCAACCCACACCTACCCCAACCCACACCTACACCTACCCACATCTACCCCCCCCCTACCCCAACCCACACCTACTCCCCCTACCCCAGCCCACACCTACCCCAACCCACACCTACCCCAGCGCACACCTACCCCAGCCCACACTGAGTGAACCCGCGTTCTGAGTGGCCACACTCTCTCGCTGAGTCACCGATTGACCACGTGATGGACTCCCTCACTCACCCCACCCCCACCCCACCCCCACGGTCCCCAGACTTGGCCAACAACACGCTCGACTTCGAGCAGTTCCTGCCCATCCTGCAGACCCTCGCCAGCGCCAAGGACAAGGGGACCTTCGAGGACTTCGTGGAGGGTCTGCGCGTCTTCGACAAGGAGGGCAACGGCTTGCTGCTCGGCGCTGAGCTGCGCCACGTGCTGGCTACGCTCGGTGCGTGATCGTGGTGGTGGTGGCGATGTGGTGATGTGGTAATGATGATGATGAGGATGGTGGTGGTGGTGATTCCAACGTCGCTAAGCTGCGACACGTGCTGGCCACGATCGGTGCGTGATCGTGGTGGTGGTGGTGATGTGGTGGTGATGATGATGGTAATGATGATGGTGATTCCAACGTGGTGGTGGTGGTGATTGCGATGTGGTGGTGATGATGATGATGGTGATTCCAACATGGTGGTGGTGATTGCGATGTGGTGATGATAATGATGATGATGGTGATTCCAACATGGTGGTGGTGGTGGTTATGGCGATGTGGTGATGATGATGATGGTGATTCCAACATGGTGGTGGTGATTGCGATGTGGTAGTGATGATGATAATGATAATGATGGTGATTCCAACGGTGCTGAGCTGCGCCACGTGCTCGCTACGCTGAAAGCGTGATCGTGGTGGTGGTGATGTAATGATAATGATGATGGTGATTCTAGCGATGGCGATGTTTCGTGTGCAGGTGAGAAGATGGTCGAGGAGGAGGTAGAGACGCTTCTCGCGGGACACGAGAACGCCGACGGATACATCAACTACGAGGGTGCGTCTCGCATGCACCACGCTCTGATGATGATGCTGATGATGATATTGGTGCTCAGTGCTGCTGATGATGATTGTGGTGCTGTTGATGATGATGGTCGTATTTGTAAGGATTCTGCTGCCGACGATGGTGATGCTGATGATGATATTGGTGCTCATAGTTCTGATGATGATGATGATGATTGTGGTGCTGCTGATGATGGTCGTATTTGTAAGGATTCTGCTGCTGACGATGGTGATGCTGATGATGATATTGGTGCTCATAGTGCTGATGATGATGATGATTGTGGTGCTGCTGATGATGGTCGTATTTGTAAGGATTCTGCTGCTGACCATGATGATGCTGATGATGATATTGGTGCTCATAGTGCTGATGATGATGATGATTGTGGTGCTGCTGATGATGGTCGTATTTGTAAGGATTCTGCTGCTGACGATGGTGATGCTGATGATGATATTGGTGCTCATAGTGCTGATGATGATGATGATTGTGGTGCTGCTGATGATGGTCGTATTTGTAAGGATTCTGCTGCTGACCATGGTGATGCTGATGATGATATTGGTGCTCATAGTGCTGATGATGATGATGATTGTGGTGCTGCTGATGATGGTCGTATTTGTAAGGATTCTGCTGCTGACGATGGTGATGCTGATGATGATATTGGTGCTCATAGTGCTGATGATGATGATTGTGGTGCTGCTGATGATGGTCGTATTTGTAAGGATTCTGCTGCTGACGATGGTGATGCTGATGATGATATTGGTGCTCATAGTGCTGATGATGATGATTGTGGTGCTGCTGATGATGGTCGTATTTGTAAGGATTCTGCTGCTGACCATGGTGATGCTGATGATGATATTGGTGCTCATAGTGCTGATGATGATGATGATTGTGGTGCTGCTGATGATGGTCGTATTTGTAAGGATTCTGCTGCTGACCATGGTGATGCTGATGATGATATTGGTGCTCATAGTGCTGATGATGATGATGATTGTGGTGCTGCTGATGATGGTCGTATTTGTATGGATTTTGCTGCTGACGATGGTGATGATGATGATATTGATGCTCAGTGCTGATGATGAAGATGATTGTGGTGCTGCTGATGATGGTCGTATTTGTAAGGATTCTGCTGCTGATGATGATGATCGTGGTAATTATGCTGATGGTTATGACGATGCTTATGGTCTCAATTGTCTTCATATTCCCCGCAGCCTTCATCAAGCACATCCTGACCAGTTAAGCGACTCAAGGAGGTGAGGCTACAGCGCGGGGAGCTGCTCACCCTCACGTCCCTCACACACGTGGCTTACTTGCTGTGACGTGAACTTATCCATCATCGGCTGGCGTGACGTCATGATTGTGATGGACCCTGTGTCTCCCTCCCCCAACCCTCCATCCCTCCCTTCCTCCCTCCCCCATCTCCCTCCCTCTCTCCCCCATCTCTCTGCTTCCCCCATCTCCCCCCTCTCTCCCCCCAATCCCCCTCCCTCTCTCCCCCATCTCCCCCCCTCTCCCCCCCCCTCTCTCCCCCAACCCCCCCCCCCCCCCCCCCCCTCTCTCCCCCATCTCCCCCCCTCTCTCCCCCCATCCCCCTCCCTCTCTCCCCCCCTCTCTCCCCCCTCTCTCCCCCCCATCTCCCTCCCTCTCTCCCCCAACCCCCCCTCTCCCTCCCTCTCTCCCCCAACCCCCCTCCCCCTCTCCCCCCCCTCCCCCCCTCTCTCTCCCATCTCCCTGCCTCCCCCATCTCCCCCCCCTCTCTCCCCCATCTCCCTCCCTCTCTCCCCCAACCCCCCCCCTCTCCCCCCCCCTCTCTCCCCCATCTCCCTCCCTCTCTCCCCCCATCTCCCTCCCTCTCTCCCCCAACCCCCCCCTATCCCCCCCCCTCTCTCCCCCATCTCCCTCCCTCTCTCCCCCCCATCTCCCTCCCTCTCTCCCCCAACCCCCCCCTATCCCCCCCCTCTCTCCCCCATCTCCCTCCCTCTCTCCCCCAACCCCCCCCTATCCCCCCCCCCTCTCTCCCCCATCTCCCTCCCTCTCTCCCCCAACCCCCCCCTATCCCCCCCCTCTCTCCCCCATCTCCCTCACTCTCTCCCCCAACCCCCCCCTCTCCCCCCCCTCAACCCCCTCTCCCCCCCCCCTCTCTCCCCCCTCTCCCCCCCTCTCTCCCCCCCATCTCCCTCTCTCCCCCAACCCCCCCTCTCTTTCCCTCTCTCCCCCCAATCCCCCTCCCTTTCTACACCCATCCCCCTCCCTCTCTCCCCCATCTCCCTCCCTCTCTTCCCCAATCCCTCTGTCCCCCATCTCCCTGCCTCCCCCCATCTCCCCCCCCCCCCCTTCTCTCCCCCATCTCCCTCCCTCTCTCCCACATCTCCCTGCCTCCCCCATCTCCCTCCCTCTCTCCCCCAACCCCCCCCCCCCTCTCCCTTCCTCTCTCCCACATCTCCCTGCCTCCCCCATCTCCCACCCCTCTCCCCCCCCCGCTCTCCCTCCCTCTCCCCCCTCCCTCTCTACCCCACCCCCCTCCCTTTCCCCGCAGAGCTGGATCGGCGAGCGGAAAATCCGACTCCGTCCCAGACCTCGGGCCCGGCCCCTCCCGCACCCCGACTCCCCCTGGCCCCCACCCCTCCACTCGACATCACACACACGCACACCGGCAAATTATTAAATTATTTTTCTATACAACTCCCCCGGACACCGCTGGGCAAAAAAAAAAGTCTACAACAGCGAGAGCCGGGCTGAGATGACCATCACGGGCCCTGGCGAGAAACCACCACGATAGCAACAACAACACAGAGCAGCAAACAACAACAACAACAACTGCCCTCGAGAGAGAGAGAGAGAAACGAGCAGAGACCTCTGCATCACCACCCCCCACCACCACCCACGACGCACGATCCGGACGATCCCACGCGCGATGTCACCTCGACGAAGTCTGCGCGGCGGCCGTCAGTGGCGGCGAGGAACGTGAACCCCCCGCCCAGCCCCCCCCCCCCCCCACATCTCCCAACTTCCACCACGCAGGAGAGGGGAGCAACGTAGGGGAGCGGTGGGTGTCCAACGCGCTCCGACGCGGCGCCGGAACTCATTCAATAAACCTCGTGTTTACGCAAAGCGTGCCTCCTCGCGTCCGTGTGCCTGTGCGTGTGTGTGTGGCTGTGTGTGGGTGTGTGTGTGGCAGTGTGTGGCGGTCTGTGCCTGTGTGTGGCTGTGTGTGGCTGTGTGTGGCAGTGTGTGGCTGTGTGTGTGTGTGGCTGTGTGCCTGTGTGTGGCTGTGTATGGCAGTGTGTGGCTGTGTGTGTGGCAGTGTGTGTGTGGCAGTGTGCGGCAGTGTGTGACTGTGTGTGCCTGTGTGTGGCTGTGTATGCCTGTGTGTGTCTGTGTGTGACTGTGTGTGGCTGTGTGTGATTGTGTGTGGCTGTGTGTGTCTGTATGTGACTGTGTGTGTCTGTGTGTGGCTGTGTGTGACTGTGTGTGGCTGTGTGTGATTTTTGTGGCTGTGTGTCTCTGTGTGTGCCTGTGTGTGGCAGTGTGTGGCTGTGTGTGTGTGCCTGTGTTGTGTGTGGCTATGTGCCTGCGTGTGGCTGTGTGTGCATGTGTGTGGGGCTGCGCTACGAACCTGGCGACCCGGGTTCGATTCCCGCCCACGGCCAACGCCATGTGACGATTATTTGAACCGGTCCTGGGCCTCCCCTAGGTTTAATCAGACTACAATGAGTACCTGGTGCGGTGTGTAAACATCGTCACTAGGGAGACAAAGGCGGTCGAGCGTGGTGCTGGCCACCCACCCCCTGGTGTGCCGTTCTGGCATTCATAGGTGCTCGCTAACAGCACTTGCCCCTTCAGTCTGCTAAGGCTACACGGGGGTTCTTTGTCTCTGTCTTTGTGCCAGTTTGAGTGTGTGGCATTGTGAGTGTGTGCCATTGTGGTAATTGCCGCTCACTCAGAGGAGGAGTTGGAGGCGCTGCTGCTGGAACTGGAGTGTGCCACTAAGAGGTGGGGCCTTACCATCAGCCCCACCAAAACTAAGCACTTGCCTGGGTATTTTGTACCATCGGATACTCTACCCCCACAACTCCCAATCGGTGATGGGGCAGTTGTGGAGAGAGTAGTTTCCCATACCTGGGCACTGTGCTCATGACCAGCTCTGGTTTGACAGCAGAGGTCTCACTCCCAATCAGTCCAGCGGCAATATATTTTCATCGGCTGCGTAACGCTGTGTGGAAGCTACCTGGTCTGTCGCTCCGCACGAAGCTTCGGGTATTCTCGGCCACAGTCGTTCCCTCCCTTCTCTTCGCTTGCGAACCGTGCAGCCCTCTTCTGGAACATCTGCGCCGGTTCGAAATATTCCGGCTGGTCTGTCTACGATCCATCCTGGGTTTAACCAGGCTGGAATGTGTGAGGAGCTCACAAATCCTTGAAAGATCTGGACAAAGTCCCATCGGCGAGCTCCTCCGGCAGGCAAGGCTGCGTTGGCTGGGTCATGTAACCCGCATGCCAAGCCACCGCATGCCTAAACAGCTTTTGTTCGGCCGGATCGAGGGGGCTAAACGGGCGCGGCACGGGCTAGAGATGAGATGGAGTGATGTGGTACAGGAGGACGTGGAGCTGAGTGGACTTGCCGATGACTGGTACCAGCGGTGTCAAGATCGGCCTCAATGGAAGAGGCTCGTGAAGGACGCTACTGGGCAGTTGGAGGTAGTCGCCCTCCAACAACAACGGAGGGCGGAGGAGCGACGCTCACAACAACGAGCGGATCGTCGGGTGGCTAAAGCACAGTAAGTTGGCACAGTAGGGGACACATGTGGTGCATCAGCCAGTCATCTCGGTCATCTCAGTCAGCCGACCCGTGGCACCTGCTGGGTCTGCCCCGTGACCTCCTGCCAGCGGCTGTTCGACACTTCACGTGGCCTCAAGGTGCACATAGCCTGGCACAAGCGTCTTGGTGACGTCACCGCCACTTAGTGACGAATGGCGGTTGTTGTTGTGTATATGTGTGTCACTGTGAGTGTGTCACTGTGTGTGTCAGTGTGAGTGTGTGTCAGCGTGAGTGTGTGTCAGTGTGAGTGTGTGTGTGTCACTGTGTGTGTCAGTGTGAGTGTGTGTCAGTGTGAGTGTGTGTCAGCGTGAGTGTGTGTCAGTGTGAGTGCGTGTCACTGTGTGTGTCACTGTGTGTGTCAGCGTGAGTGTGTGTCAGTGTGAGTGTGTGTGCCACTGTGAGTGTGTGTCAGTGTAAGTAGTTGCTCGTCAAATCAGTGAAAAAGTACATATGTAGTAGTAGTAGCTACTACTACATATGTAATAGTAGTATGTAGTAGTAGCTACTACTGTAGTCGGAGCTACTACTACATATGTAGTAGCTACATATGTAGTAGTAGCTCCGACTACATATTGCTACTACTACTTATGTCGTTGTAGCTACTACAAAGGTAGTAGTAGCTACTACTACATATGTAGTACATATGTAGTAGTAGCTACTACATATGCCAGTCGGCCCACAACACAGTTAGACACTAACCTGGTTGACCACGTATTTCAAAATACTTCTAAGACTGTGTTGTTGGCCGTGCAGTTTGCATCACATTATGTTTCTAATGTTTGTTGAGTTCTCTCGTCTCACATCTTCCTGCTGTATTTGCCTCCGTGCACTTTGCCGTTTCTCTGTGTAACGGGTTCCGGAGACACTTGTAGAGGTAACTTCTTTATTACAATACAACACTCCAACAGTCCAACTCTCCAACAGTCCTGATACTCTGTTACAGCCTAGGTACACAGCCTAGATCCACTACTCTGGCTACGCTCTGGACTCGCCCTCACAAGGTCGTAGAGTCGGGAGTTCCAGAGTCCCAGCGCTGGCTCTCACAGCATCCCAGGGTCTTCATATGGCTGGTCGTGGGTCTTGGGTCTTGAGTCACAACTGGCCCTGATCGTCCAGGAAGCTCCGCTTATATGCCCAGTCCCCAACGAGAGGTGGGGCCGTGTGCGCCACCAGACATCCCACAGAGCACACACAGCCCCCCCCCCCCCCCCCCCCGTTGGCGGCGCCCAGGGGATTAAGCGTCTGGACCCCCTGGGAACCCAGAGCCCCCAGCAGCCCCTCCCTTCTTATGTCACTACATCTGTGTGCTCTGCACGTGGTGTCCTTCCCCTGTGTGTTCTCGCTGTGTGTTTTACCCCATTTCCACCTGACGATGAGCGCTTCAGTTGCGTTCGAAACGTCGTGATTTATTTAAGTTCAATTTTATTTGCTTCAAATCGCTGGAAACGATTGTCATTGTAGTGCGTATTGAATGTGGCGCTGCACTCTGATGTTGTAGGAGTGTTGTTATGACAATTAGTGTTGTTATAACAATTCTATATTTATTTAAAGTTGCGCATTTTTACGTAACGTCACATTTCTCAACCCCCCCCCCCCCTTCGTCACACGGCGTCACAAATGTCTGAACCCCCCCCCCCCCATAGGTGCGTGACGTCATTTATGGACGCCCCCCTACCGCTACCCCCCCCCCACCACCGCGATGGCTCCCACAGTCGTCGTCGTCTCCCGAGAGGTGGCGTAGGAACCAGGGGACCCTCACCCCCCCCCTCCCCTGGCCAGGAGGGGAAGGGGGGGGGGGGTTGATGGTGACTGAAGGGCGGAGTGGCAGCCAGACGGAGGGGGGGCGCGTCTCGAAGGTCCCCCCCCACCCCCCCACCCCCCGAACCCCCCACCCCCCGAACCCCCCCCCCCCCCCCACCCCCCCAACTCCCCTGACGAGTTGCCTCACGGTGGACGCTGCCGTGACGAGAAGCTCAGTTGCTGAAGTGGCCACGGGAGGGCGCCCGACACTCGCCTGCAACACGCCCCCCCCCTCCACACCCCCTCCCCCTCCACCCCCGCCCCCTCCACACCCCCTCCTCCACACACCCCCCTCCCCGCCCCTCCTCCACACCCCCTCCCCGCCCCCCCCTCCACACTCCCCCTCCACACCCCCTTCCACCCCCCCCTCCACACCCCCCCTCCACACCCCCTCCCCCTTCCACCCCCCCCTCCACACCCCCCCTCCACACCCCCTCCCCCTTCCACCCCCCCCTCCACACCCCCCCTCCACACCCCCTCCACCTCCACCCCCCCACCTCCACACCCCCTCCTCCACACACCCCCCTCCCCGCCCCCCCTCCACACCCCCTCCCCGCCCCCCCCCTTCACACCCCCCCTCCACACACCCCCTCCCCGCCCCCCCTCCACACCCCCCCTCCACACCCCCCCTCCACACCCCCCCTCCACACCCCCTCCACACCCCCCCCCCCTCCACACCCCCCCTCCACACCCCCTCCACACCCCCTCCACACCCCCCCCCCCTCCACACCCCCTCCACACCCCAGCCTCCACTACCTCCACCTCTACACCCCCCTTCACACCCTCCCTCCACACCCCCTTTCCACGCCCCCCTCCCTCCACCCCCCCCTCCCCCCGATTTTCCACAAATCCACGGCACTCGTTCACGGATCGAATCTTTCACCGCATCGTCCTGACCGCGATGTTGAACATCGTCGTCGTCAACCACGCTCGATCCACCCCTGGTCTAGAGCCTCCGTCTAGCCGGTCCCGCTTCCCTCCTCCCCCGGGCCCCCTCCACCCCAGCCACCCACCCCCCCCCGCCCGGTGTTTTCTCCCCAGGGCTCTGTGCCCTTGCGACAAGAACGCGCCCCGAGTCGCGGTTGCCACCACCTGGGGGTCGCTCTGACTCTTCGTTGTTGTCGTCGTTGTCTTTCTACTCAGATTTACCTCCGAGGCTTGAACGCGAGCTGCACAACCTCCTCCGTCAGCCCCCCACCACCCTCCACCCCCCTCCACCCCCCCACCACCCTCCACCACCCCCCACCACCCTCCACCACCCTCCACCACCCCCCACCACCCCACCACCCTCCACCACCCCCCACCACCCCCCACCCCCCTCCCCCACCCCACCACCCTCCACCACCCCACCACCCTCCACCACCCCCCCACCCCCCTCCACCACCCCACCACCCTCCACCACCCCCCACCACCCTCCACCACCCCCCACCCCCCTCCACCACCCCCCACCCCCCTCCACCACCCTCCACCACCCCACCACCCCACCACCCTCCAC